AGAACTATCTAACATGAAAGCAAGTAAAACGATTTCGAACGGGCATGCAACCATAGACAACACGTCCTGGACAAGTATAATTGGGACATTCGACATTCGGCCATAGGTAACACGCCTTGAACAAGCATGACCACCCATTGGCAGGTTGTCCAATGCCAGCTTTCATAAAGCCCGTAGTTTTTGAATGGCGAGCTCTAGGAATTATCCCAGGTTCCCGACCTCAGGGTACCATCAATTTCACCCTCTCATGTGAGTTAATGTCCAATTATTCTAGGACCAACACAGTCTTTCCGCATCCCTGAAATGGAAGATGATATTGATGATAGAACTGACGAACTTAAGAATGAAGAGTTCGGGTGGGTACTTGTTTTTAGTTATGTCCTTCCAAATTTCTTGAGGATTCTTTTATGGGTTTGTCCTTCGGCTTGCTCTTATAATTTGCGCTTCTACCTTTTTGTCCTAAATTTATGCCTTACAACCATGTACATATTCCAACATTTGTTCATTTTGACACTTTTTCTCAATATTCTTTATCGAGATTACAGGTCTTCCTTGGTCATCATTGCATTATCGATTATCTAAGGGCGAATCACTTTCCTTATATTCAACAAGTCTCGATATAATGAACTTTGTTCCTTCAAGGTTACATGTTAGAGGCTTCTTTTTTTCCTTCTTGTACAGGGTTTGTTGATCGTTCTTAGCGTCTTAAGTCCTTTCATAGGTGTTACAAGGTCTTCCTTAACCCTTGTAGCCACTCTTGGCCTTGTAAAGACCGTTTTCTCTTGAGACAATCCTGTTTCTAGAAGTCTATAGCCTTAGTTCTATCCTCTTTTAAGTCTTTAGGGTTACTACTTGTCCTCGGAGCAGAGCCACCTTAAGTTACCGTAACCCTAAAGTTAATTAAACACTTAAAATCTTTAGACATGCTAATCTTGAAGTCTTAAAGATGTACATACCTAGTCGTGACAGAGTGTCTCTCGAGCATAGTCATAAAGAATCTTTGCTTTGATACCACTATCTGTCAAAGACCCAATCTTTGGACCTGTTCAAAGTATGGATTGTGATGGGGTAATGTGAGTTTGTAACCCATAGGGGGCAATAAAGTGGTTGGAGGTTGGCTCAGCCCATTGGTTAGGGTTGGCTAGAGTGGTTCTTTGGCCTGTCCATTCCAAGTAGGGAGTTGGGTCATGGGCTTTTTAGGTGAAGGCCCAATGTGGCCTTTAGAGGGGAGGAAACTGCATGAAGCTGGTTTCACATAGCAACATAACCTTTCGCTCTTGTCGGTGGAAAGGATAGCGGGTTGGTTCTCTTAGGTCCTAATAATAATCCTCTCCTCAACCTTAACATCCACTTTTTTTTTTCCCACTTGTATACTAGTGCTATTTGAAATGCTCCTCCGAGCCCACACATTCTTCAACCCGACACAAGATAAAGCATTTGTCCAATATGTCTTGCATGTGCACCTTGAGTTCTTTTAGAGTTCTTTTAGTTTTATTTCAAACTAGGGCTTGTACTTCGTTCAAGATCAATATAGAAACCACCTGCACTGAAGAGTGGGCTAACGTCCCCTCCAAAACCTCTTCATCGACAATTGACAAGGTGATTGTATTGTGCACATGGAAAATAACACATCTAACTTTTCGAGACAGCCTCTCAAGTATTTTTCTGCTACAATCTTCACAAACAGACTTATCGTTCTCACTATTTCTTTATTGACTAGATAACTAGATAAGAAAATCATGTCAATCTTGTTAAATAATTTTGACGCAGGGTATCCCACTTAGATGAAGAAAACATGAAATAATAATGAACTGCGTGGTGGGAGGTCAAGGGTCACTTCAGGCGTGGTTAGAGTATTACTTAACATTCTTGGAGGTCACGGTAACCTTAAGGCATGAGGTGTTTAAAGTTTTGACTTGTTCATGCCCTTAGGATAGCAATCTTGACATAAGGTCATGAACTATAGTCATATGATAATGCATACTTGTAACATACCCTAATTTCTTGGCATGCTTAAAGTTGCCCAAAAGTATACCTATCTTATTTGTGTCAACATATCTCCTCGAGGAGCATAATTCATATATGCCATAAAATATCTCTCGGGTTCATGGAATTTTCATGAATTCTTATAAAGAGATCATTAGGGATACTTTCATCTTTTACCAATTGAATCTGAGTACATACCCCAAACATGTTCGGAATTCTTTTTAATTTCATGCATGAGTTCCTAATAACATTTCATGTCTTCATATTCATAAGTTCACTTAGGGCTTGTGTTGTGCTCTTCTCTTTTGTATTTAGAGCATTTTCTTAGTCTCATAGGTTCTTACGTTCTTGCTCCAAAGATTATTCTTAAGACACAACCATGACATAACTCTTATCATGAGTTTTTAAGCCCTAATCCAAGCTCATAGGCCATGAACACGAGAAATTTCCATAATAGCTTGCATAAGTCTTTATAAAGATCATAACATGTTCTTTGAGATTCTTAGGCAAATCATGAATCCTTATTATGAGTTTTTAGGGGTAGTTTAGTCATTTCTTTTAAGTCTTGGCTTATACCCCAACTTGGTTTAGATTCTTAACTTATCCAAACACCTTGAAATATTAGATAAACCTTTATGTCTTTATAGATAGGTCTTGCATAAAATATTAAGTCATTCAGAGGTTGTTCCGACCTTGAAATATCTTACAAAAATTTTAGGGACATTTTGGTCATTTTATCCTTAGTCTAGCCCCTAAAAGTGCTCCAACGACTTTGAAATCTTCATAACTTCTCACATCCTTGAAAATAGGCCATATAAAAATTCTTAGGTTATTTGGAGTTTACTGCTTCATAAACCAACACTCAAGCATGGTAGGGACATTTTAGTCATTTTGGACTTATCCTTTGTTCTTAACTTAATTCTTCCATATTCATACCTAACATAAATGTTTATATAGAAATCCAACCTATTTCTATAAGTATAACTTGAGATAAAGTCAAATAAAAATAAAAACAAAAACAAAAAAAAGACTAAATATAGCAAAAATATTCACACCAAAAAAAACCAAAAGAACTGCACCAGCCGGGAATCAAACCCGGGTCTGTACCGTGGCAGGGTACTATTCTACCACTAGACCACTGGTGCTTTTTGAAGGATGTTGATTAGCTTAAATATATTAAATAAAAGATTAAACTTTTTTTAAATAATTATATACGAGTTATATGAGTTATATGTCTAATGAAATTACAATTTTGTATCTTATATATCTTATATGCAATAGGTTAATAATAGATTCATGAACTATTGAATATAAAATTAAAAGTTTAAAGATTAACCAGATATTTATTAAATATTTTCTAAACTAATTTTAAAATTTAAGGTTTACTTTTCAATTTAATTCTTACACATAATTATGTCTGACATTACAAAAAAATTACAAATTTGGTCCCTCAAAGACAGTTCAAACATGAAAGATATTAACCAAGAGTCAATTAATAGAAACTGTTTCAACGCCCCAACGAACTATCTAGAATCAAAATCGTTTCATGCCCTCCACAATAAAAGTTGTCATCAAACAAGAGGTCCCTTGCTTGTGAAAATACTCTTAAATAATTCTACTATTGGAATCGAAAAATGCAAACATATACAAACATGCCTCATGACTTTTGGGACTTAAATTCGACGACTCTTTTAATTATCAACTTTGTCTTTCATCGTTTTAAATTAATTCATACAGAATGATAATAATAAGAAAGTGGAGAGACCAAAGTGATCGCACAAACAATTTAGAATAATAATCGTCAGAAAATAATATTTATATTAGATTTCAAGTACTTCCAACCATTAACTAATTTGAGATAATTAGTTGCAATTAGTTATTTTATTTCATAACTAATTTGAGATAATTAGTTGTCATTAGTTAGTTTATTTCCTAACTAATTTGAGACAATTAGATGCAATTAGTTATTTTATTTCATAAAATTTGAGATAATTAGTTGCAATTAGTTATTTTATTTCATAACTAATTTGAGATAATTAATTGCAATTAGTTATTTTATTTCGTAACTAATTTGAGATAATTAGTTGCAAATAATTATTTTATTTTTATGGAGTGAAAACTCATTAAATATTAATTTATCTTTCATTCATCAAATAAATAATCTTAAATTTTAGGAATTTTACATTAAATATCAATTTTAATAATATTATATGAACTTGTAATAGTAAATAATAATAAAAAATAATCAAATTGAAATATTAATTATACCTATTATATTTCAAAAATCAAATACCATAAATTATTTTCAATAAAATATACTAATAATCATATATAATTATGATAAATTATTAATAAAGTAAAAAAATTATTATAATACAATAATTATTAATTTTAATTCAATATAGTTCATTACCATTAATTACAATTAGTAAATTAGTAAATTTAATTTGAGTAAACTATGTTCTAAAATTACGAATAAGCTATTCAAAATTAGTCCAAATAAACAAATAATTGATTATAAATAATCATTAATAGTTATAATAATTGAAAATAAAATTTTTACTAAGTTAATCCAATTAACTAATTAATTAAAAAAGTTGGAATTAATAAATTTTATTTGTAAAAAAAAAATTAAATATATATTTAAATGAATTATTATTAATTAAGCATATTCAAAAATAAAATTACACATCAAAATGAAGGGTAAAAGAGAAAACTCATATTTCTCCATAAATTGGAAGATAATAATCCTAGCATTGGGTCGTTCATACTTTTTCTAATACTATTTCCGTTAAATTATAAATTTAGTTCATAATGATGTTACAGATTATAAATTTAGTTCATAATGATGTTATAAATTTAGTTCATAATGATGTTACAGATTATAAATTTAGTTCATAATGATGTTACAGATTATAAATTTAGTTCATAACAATGTTACAGATTATAAATTTAGTTCATAACAATGTTACAGATTATAAATTTAGTTCATAACAATGTTACAGATTATAAATTTAGTTCATAACAATGTTACAGATGTTTTAACGATGAATTTTTGTTAACTCGTCTCTAACCCCTAGTTTGAACCGAACTATACCCCGTCTCTAACCCCTAGTTTGAACCGAACTATACCCCGTCTCTAACCCCTAGTTTGAACCGAACTATACCCTGTCTCTAACCCCCAGTTTGAACCGAACTATACCCTGTCTCTAACCCCCAGTTTGAACCGAACTATACCCGGCTTTGTTTTGAATCCCTTTGATCTTCATCTCCTCCCTTACAGCCTTCACATTCTCCCACCTTTGAGCAGAAGCATAAACATTCGACAAAGCTACAAAGTCCTCACTTCCATCACACCACTCATCACCAACAACACTCTCCACAAGGAACTTCCCCACCTTCTCTCCCATTTCAACATCGCAATGAACCATACAAGAACTCATCAAACTCCTCCATAACACACCATCAGGCGCCATTGGCATCCCAAGTATCAACTCATATGCCTCTTTCAAGTGCCCACACCGCCCAAGAAGGTCAACAATGCAGCCATAATGCTGCATTTGTGGCACAACACCGAACTTCCTCTCCATTACATCAAACAAATGGAGCCCCTCTTCGATAAGCCCCCCATGACAGCAACCAGAAAGTAGACTTGTGAAGGTTACTGCGTTTGGCTTTACACCATGACCTCCCATTGCTTCCAAAAGTTCCAATGCTTCTTTACCCTTTCCATGAATGGCCAACCCTGTCGCCATCGCTGTCCATGTCAAAACGTTCCTCTGCTTCATCTGCTTAAAAACTAATGAAGCACTGTTGAGACACCCACATTTTGAGTACATATTAACCAAACCAGTACCAATAAACACATCATTTTCAGGGGAATCAATTGTTTTCTCGATGTATGCATGAACGCAAACGCCGGTTTCAAGCACACCCAGTTGAGATGCAGCTGAAAGAAGACAGACCATTGTAGTATCCGTTGGATTGACATCAGAATTCGTTGATTCAACCAACATCGCCCGAAACAAATCCAACGCTTCTAGACCATATTTATGAGCCACCCTTCCACTTTGTGAGCAGTACCCTGCAATCATCGCATTCCAGGTAACATTATTTCTCACAGGCATTTCATCGAACACCTTCCGTGCAGCACCCACATCTTTGTTAATCGCGTAAAAATGAATCATGGTAGTCTGCACCCAAATGTTTGAAACAACCCCACGTTTGAGAATATGAGTATGAATCTGCTTGCCGGTGGTTAACGTCGGCGGCGATGGAGCCCGCGCACAAGCTCCGAGCAGGAAAATGAAAGTGAAATCATCGAATTGGAAGTGAGCAGTGGAGACCGAATTGGCGAAAATGGAGATGGAATGTTGAGGCGGAGCGCATCGTATGAGGGTGTTGAAGAGGAAGAGATTGGTGGGGTGTCGGTGGTGCAGGGATATGGAATGGGCGTAGGCGGTGGCTTCGGGGGAATGCTTGTTGCAGAAATGGGCGATTAATTTGGCGTAAGGGGAGGGGGATTTGAAGGCATTGGTGATCAATTGGGCGTGAATTTGTTTGAGTTGAAGAAGGGAAGAGTTCAGTATGTTGTTTAGGAGATGGATGCAGCTCAGTCTTGGGGATAGGTGCATCTGCGAGGTTGAATTCGAACCCAATCTGTGAGCAAGAAACACGCATGCAGTTATGATATGAATTTATATATTTTTCTAATTATTTTATATTTTTAGAAAATGAAAAAGAATTATTTTATTAAAAAAAATTGAATTAGTTAGTATCAATGTTAATCTTGTTAGAAAGTATTTTCAAAATCGTAACTGCACACATCTACGGCTACCAGATATTGTAGCGTCGTTTGTTATCCTCCCCACCCAATAAATGGTGGTTTGTTCTCCTCCACAACCAATGTGGGACACCTCCACAACCAATGTGGGACATCACAATCCACCCCCTTCTTGTAGGCTCGTTTGTTCTCCTCCCCACTCCACAACCAATGTGGGACATCACAATCCACCCCCTTCTTGTAGGCTCGTTTGTTCTCCTCCCCACACCACAACCAATGTGGGACATCACAATCCACCCCCTTCTTGTAGGCTCGTTTGTTCTCCTCCCCACCCAATAAATGGTGGTTTGTTCTCCTCCACAACCAATGTGGGACATCACAATCCACCCCCTTCTTGTAGGGTCGTTTGTTCTCCTCCCCACCCAATAAATGGTGGTTTGTTCTCCTCCACAACCAATGTGGGACATCACAATCCACCCCCTTCGGGGCCGAGCGTCCTCGCTGGCACTCTTTCCTTCCTCCCATCAATGTGGGACCGCCCCCAAATCCACCACCCTTTGGGGCCCAACGTCCTTACTGGCACACCGCCTCGTGTCTACCCCCTTCGGGGAATAGCATAGCAAGAAGGTTAGCACATCATCCGGTATCTGGCTCTGATACCATTTGTAAGGGCCCAGATCCACCGCTAGCAGATATTGTCTTCTTTGGGCTCTCTTTTGGGCTTCCCTCAAGGCTTTAAAACCCATCTACTATGGGAAGGTTTCCACACCCTTATAAATGGTGGGTTGTTCTCCTACCCTAGCAATGTGGGACATTACAGGTATCAACATATTCTACGGTCTTTATCATCCGTTCATAACGAGATATCTACCTGGGACCTATGGAATATGTTTGTATAGGTGAGTATCATAGTAAACTCTTGGGGAATGATGTAACAATTTTATTTCTAATGTTTGACCTATCCTAGGACCATACTTGTTGGAATAAAACTACTTTCTCTAAAATGATGGGTATACAAATTACTCCGTGTAATATTTGGTTGAGATCGTCTTAGTTTGGTGAATTAACGCTTGACTGGGTCGACCCCGGTACAAATTACTCTCGTTTGGGCCACGGTTGCAGATGGGCGGAAGTAAAACGGGTTAGGTCACGGATCTGGATCGACTCGTCGTGTTAAAGATATTTAGTAATAAATTATAGTTTACCATATATATCATATTTGATATTTTATTACAAGGCAAACATCTAGATATTTGTCTTCTTAGCATAGATATCTTTCCATTTATTGTTATTTCCATTTATTACTATTTCCATATCCTTGTAATTTATTTGATTATAAATAAGATAACTTCCACACCAGGTGTGGTGGATTAATCAAACATTCTTAGTCGGGCTTCGTCTTCTCTACCCAGATTTGTGCGGTTTCCTCTCTCTTGGGTAACGTCGTTCCTGTGACGGTTTTTCCTCGTTTTCTCTTGGTTCCGAGTCTTCTCTCCTCCTTCTCCCCTTTTCTGGCATTGGTTTGGTTCGTGGTAGTCTAAATGTCCATATCTGAGAGGGTCCAAAAATCTGAAAACCTCTCTTCTTCCTCTGGTGGTTTATGACGTGTATGAGGCGTTGAAACTCGTCCCTAGTGTGCGTGCAAGCCTTGGTGGTGTTTTCGTGGCTGGCGTTTTGGGAAGCCTTATGGTGATTTGTGGGAAGGGGAGGGTGTGGGAATGAAAAATCTGGTGTTCGTTGGAGTTTTCGGGTCTCGTTGGAGACCGTGGGTTTTGTTGATTTTTTTTTTATATGGTCCATTACACTTCAGATTTTTGCTTGAAACATGATCATTTTTTATGTCAACTACATATTGTTCAAGTTTACCCTACTAATCTTGAATTTTACACAATGGTGAGTAATGTTATCCACAATATAAAATAACAAATTATTTTAATAAGAAAATGCTCAATTACAAAAACTACGAGCTTTAGGGTACAAATCTCAACACAACCACTCATCTAAGACTTATGGCACAATAGACAGTGCTATTGAGGGAGCTTCGATTGTACATAACGACAAACCTATCTAGTATGATCGAGGGAGAATAGAATTACACTTAATAGGGTGCTTTTGTTTGGTACCATTTAGGGAGTATCAACTAGCACTTAGGAGTAGACACTACCAATTCTAGTAACACTTAGTGGAGAGCCTCCTTAACAGTATTGGGAGCTTGGAATGTTGCTTTGTAGGGAACTTTGCTTTGTTTTGCATCACCTAAGGGAGCACCAACAATAGAGCCTATTAGAGAGGCTGCATAATGGTTGCTAATAGGGAGCTTTGCTGAGAGTGACATGATCATATATGTTTGATCACCATAGAGCTCGAGATTGATGAGGGCATCCCCATTGTTTTATGCGTATTACATGAGATTAGTAACCGACTCACTAAGTTTACCCGTAAACCCTGAAGGTGAAGAATCAATAAAAAGTGATCATACCGTTCAAAATCAATAAAAAGTGATCATACCGTTCAACCTCTCTTGCTAAATTTATTATCAAGGGAAAAAAAAAAAAAAAAAAAAAAAAAAAAAACCTTTCACAAAGCCTTACAAGGTGAGACAGTGATAGAAAGAAGTCCATATGAGTATGATTATTTTGTAACCGATCATAATGTTGGGAATAAAGAAAAAAAAAAAAAAGTTTTTAATTTTGTTAATTTTAGTAAGATTTTTGAAATCTGAGGAGTAGGAAGAAAAGACGGAACAAAAAAAACAAAGGGCAATGATCATAATTTTATAGCGGACAGAGGACAGCCAATTTTAGATTTTAGAAAACCGATAAATTATGCAAGAATAAGTTAAAAATTAAATAGTGTAATAGAAAAGGGCTTTTTAGAATTTATTTTGTCTCCTTATTTCTCGGGTGTGGACATCTCCTTCACAGCCTCGTGAGTGCTATTTTAACAAGTTATTTTCAGAGCGAGTGTTTATTTCTACAAATTGGTATGGGTGGATTGTTATTTTCAACAAATTAGTATCAGAGAGTATTTTATTTCAACACATAAAAAAACAAAAAAAACAAAAAATTCATGCGGTCGTCGGCGACGCCGGAGTTTTCGTTCTCATACAACTGACGACCCTCACCCAACTTCGGGGGTCACCACAACATCAGACCCCGATCCTCAGCCAAACCACTTGCAAGAAAGAAAACAAAAAACATGAGAGTTTGAGAACAACCGAGGACACTCTAGCGAACGAAACCTAATGATAAACCAACGTCGAAACCACCGAACTACACCACGAAAATCATTCTAGAGACCTCTACACGAACTAGAGATAGATTTCGACGTTTCTTACACGTCGTACACCGTCGGAGAAGGAAGACAGAACGTCGGACTTTCGAGCCCTCTCAGATCCGAGAGTTTTAGGTCCTTACGAACCGAACAAAACACAATAAACAAGATTAGGGTGAAGAGGAGACTCGGAAACGAAGGAAAAGGGAGGAAAAAAAAGAACGTCAGAACAGCTTACCGACGAAAGAGAAAAGTTGCCGAAATTTTTTTTGATAGTCGGGCGAAAAAGACTAGCCCCGACCCGAGACCCGGATTTGAGACTCGAATCGGAACCCAAAACCCACTCGCCCCAAAGACAGTCGTTGCCTCGGCCTAACCCATCACCCGTGACTTGAAACCGCAACCAAGAACCAATCTGAGAACCCGTGACCGACCCACGAACTGAAGCCAAGGACCCAATCCATGCTGACGGTCCAAACTGTGCCTCAGCCTAAACCCTCTCAACCCAACGATCAACCTTTGGCCCACCGAAATAAATTGCGGCCCAACAGCAGAGTTCAGCCCAGACCCGCAACTACAACCCGACAACCCACGCCTCAACCTGAGACCGCCTACACACGCGTTACCTCCTGATTGTGTCGTTGTCAGCTTTTGGCGAAAAAACTCCTTAGCTGTGGCGGCTTCCCAGCTCCTCGCAGCTTATTCGGCTCAGGAAACCCATTTCTGACGTGTTCTGCACCATTTCGACTCTCTGACTTGATTTTGATCCCTTTTAAGGTAAAATAGGTCATTTTAAGGCAGTATTTCATAAATTCAAGTTGGAAAATTAATTATATTTGTGAAATACTAACGAAGGTGTTGAATGATCCAATAGGAACCAACCACCAACGAAAGCGAAGAACGTATACGAGGAGCTAGGAGCTTACGTATATATTTAGGGAGTACATTGGCTAAGGCCTACCAAGTAAGTGGCTCTTCCGTCGTAGGTTACGCATTTGTATACTGTATGTTGGCATGTGCCCATGGATTCGCACGTGTCATTAAATTGTATGTTAGACTTATATGCTTTAATACGTAAACTTGTGAAATGTGAATGTATGCTGGTTTAGTATTGATTTGATGTGTGATTTAGTATGATGTGATATTGTGTTTCCTAAATTGTATGTAAAACAACATTCTATGCGTGACATGAAACTACGAACTATAGCATGAAATATAACCCCGTTAGAATTATGCATGATAGGAAAACTAAGAAACAAAAGATATTATGATATGAATGAAATTGATAGCGGGATTATATTTACTAATGATAAAAGTAGAATTATTGGGGACCTCATGCATCATGTGTGCTCATGCATTGGGGGGATACCCCTATTCAATCACGAGGGTACGGACGCGTACACCCAAGGTAGGAGAACGATCATTATATTTTACATAATGCTGCCGTGACGGTTACTAGTTCTAACAGGTGTTCGGCCTAAGGAGCTCCCAGAGTATGCTCGCCTGACAAGGAAAGTGGTTCAACAGTGTGCGAACTAACTGGTGAGTCCATACTCGCACGTATGGGCTGTGTATAGATTATATGGTACACATCCAAATTACCCGTTAGGATAGCACTATAGGAAGATAGATTGAATGATAAGACTCGTGCTACTACATTTTCAGAGAAAGACAAGGCACCCATGTGAGACCGACGACACCATCGCACATCCCGTGACCATGGCACATGCATAGGATAGTTTGTTTTCCATTCACAGTATAGGTTAAATTTCAATTGCATTCATAGTATAGGTTAGTATAAATTGAATTTTCTTTTGCATAGATGGAATTGCAATCGCATAAATAAACCATAGGTTAGTATAAGATGTTTAATTCAGATTTTTTTTTTCCCTTTCTTTCTCTTGTATTTGTTTAATCATGAGATGATAAATGGCAAATTGACGTTGCATTTATAATAAGAGTCCATTTAAAATAAATTCGGCATTAAACGTAAGGGTGTTAAGGTAAATTCCGCATTTAAGATATAGTAATGACCTTAGATTAAATAGGAAAATTTTAGAGTTGTTACCATGTTTGCCCATTTGAATGCTTTGGATATATATTATGTGTTCTAAAGCATTTGTATGATGAGTTTGTATGCCTTTTAACTATTGTTTGCATTTCCTAGTCCTTGAGCTATAACTAGGGTCTATATTGACTATTTTGTGTTGACTAGTACCATGTAGGGATGATGGGGGCATAATCCCTAATGGTGAAATTATCTTGACAGGTTAGGGTTATTAAGTATATAGGATCGCAACATCATTACTATGTCTCGTGGGACATAAAGGGTATTAGCGAGGGAGCTCTAATGTGCTTAATGGGAAGCATGTCTTGCACTTTTCTAGCTTGGAATGATGTAGGAATAGAGAGCTTCTTGGGTGCCATTAGGTGAGCTTTCGACTAGCACTCAGTAAGGCACGTGTGGAGTTATAGAGAGACCCAAGACGTTATCTATAGAGAGTGATGACTCCTCCATACCTACTAGATCCACCCGAAAGCTTGAGACAGATGAGGGTACTCTGACTTATGTGCAGAAAGCGCGATGACTAGATGGACCTTGAAAAGTAGAGACATAAAGTTAAGTGCACCCATAAACCTAACTTAACCCTGATGGGTGATGTACACCTTGGAATGGAAGTGTGCAATGTTCAAGACTCAATAAGCTCGATAGGGCTAAGATAGGGTTATTAAGAATCTCATATCATGGAATTGGACAACTCTAGGAATGTGATGAGCCCGTAGCTTAAGAACATTGAATAGGATAAGTTCGATGAGAGTCTATAAGTAGTTCGCTTACCAAGTATTTTTATATTCATTCTTACTGTACTTTATTTTTCATATAGACCATAGTTGGTTGATTGTGGGCAGGAACGTGCAAGGTTGTGCGACTGTAAAGAGGACCCTTAGATCTGTGTCGTATGTTTACTATTTATGTGTCTTCTATTTTAATTATGTTATTTTGGAACCTCCATTATTTTGTAAATTTTTTTGTATTTGTAACTTACGAAAGTGTTGTCATAACTCTTGATATTGTTTATATTTGAGTGTACTAGTTTGAAATCTTACTCCACTACATCACTCAATTTTAAAATAAAATTTTTTATCATCTACGGTTCATGATTCAAAACCTCATAAGGTGGTTAATTCATTGTTCTTGTGCTCTATTTTCATTTATGTGTAGGGTTAGATACATAGTAATGCTCTACGTATGATCTACACACATGCACATGGGCATACTATGTGGGCTCATTAACATATCATGAGACTGGACTCTGGTAGACATGCACTCATAATGTGAGTGTACGCATCCATACACTAGAGAAGTAATCAATTACTGTATGAGCATACAATATATATCATCCGTACATACATACATTATGATACGTTGTACAATAACATTTTCATACATTTCATAACTTTATTTTGTTGAAGCTAATAATAGTAATTTGAAATTAGTTGTCGGTGTTGGAGGAGGTGAAAGCAATTTTATCCACAAAAATCCCAACCAACTCTGGGAAGGAATGAAATCCTGTCCTATAAAATGACCTCCCTTTCAATCATTCAAATCACTCCTCTCAATCTCACTTAATTTTTGTTGTCACCAACAACTGGTATCAGAGCGATCTTGTAGCAGCAAGAATGGCAGCAGAAAAACAAGTTGAGAGCTACGTTCAGCCCGCCATCCCGAGGTTCGATGGTCACTATGATCATTGGGCGATGTTGATGGAAAATTTTCTCAGATCAAAGGAGTTTTTTGATATGGTGGAGACGGGTTATGAAGAGCCAAATGAAGGCGAGGTGCTCTCAGCTGGTCAACAGCAACTGTTGGTAGCATCGAAGTTGAAGGACCTGAAGGTCAAGAACTATTTATTTCAGTCCATTTATAGGACTATCTTGAAAACAACGTTTCAGAAGAAGACATCCAAGGAAATTTGGGATTCTATGAGGAGGAAGTATCAAGGCTCAATAAGAGTAAAGCGTGCTCAACTTCAATTCCAAATGCAAAAGGGAGAAACGGTGAATGATTATATTGGCAAGGTTATAAGTCTTGCAAGTAAAATGAGGATGCATGGTGATTCAATCACGGATGTTGCGGTCGTAGAAAAGATTTTGCGATCACTAACTCCAAAGTTCGATTACATTGTATGTTCTATCGAAGAAGCAAACAATGTCGAAGAGATGCAAATAGATGAACTCCAAAGCTCCCTGTTAGTACATGAACAGAGACTCAATCGTACAAGTGCAATAGAGGAGATGACAGCCTTAAAGATATCCACACTAGGTGAAACTTCAAGCCCTAGAGGTAGAGGGCAAAGAAGAGGCAGAGGTTGTGGGAGAGGCAGTCGAGAAAGAAGTGGAGATGTTGGCAGGTCAGCAGATCTAGTCAGAAACGATTATGACAACAAAGGCAAGAGACACTTTGACAAGTCTAAGGTGAAATGCTATAGATGTGGACGCCTTGTACATTACAAAAATGAATGTTATACCAGGCTCCAAAAGGAGAAAAAAGATCAATCCAATTTTGTGGAGAGAAGAGAAGAAGAAACATTGTTAATGTCATTCCATGCTATGAAGGTTGCAGATTAAGGTGTATGGGTCGTAGACTCTGGATGCAACAACCATATGACAGGTTGTAAAGAATTCTTCTCAACTCTGGATGAAAATTTTCATACTACGGTTTCTCTTGGCAACAATTCAACTATCCAAGTGATGGGAAAAGGAACCGTAGATATCAAGACTAGAAATGGCTAGGATCGATTGCTAAGATGAAGATGACCACCAACCGTCTATATCCGTTGACGTTAAATATCGTCACCAAAAGTTTAATGGTGAAGAAAGAAGATACCACCTGGCTTTGGCATTTTAGGTATGGTCATCTACACTTCAAAGGATTAAAGACGTTGTCTTCAAAGAAGATGGTAACTGGGTTGCCAGATATTACTCCTCCAACAGAAATTTGTGAGAGCTGGGTAGTAGCAAAACATGAAAAAAATTCTTTTCCATCCGGAAAATCAAGAAGAGCTCAAGCAATTTTGGAGTTGATTCATTCAGACATATGTGGTCCCATCTCTCCAGCATCAAATGCTAACAAGAAATATTTCATGACCCTGATCGAAGATTTTAGTCGAAAAACATGGACTTATTTCTTGCACGCCAAATCAGAAGCCTTTGATTGCTTTAGAAAATTTTGTGCTATTATGAAGACGGAAACTGGAAGAAGAGTCGAGGCTTTAAGAACTGAGAGGTGGAGAGTTCTGCTCGAATGAGTTTATTAAATTTTGTCAAGAGAAGGGCATAAGGAGGCAGTTAACAACAACATATACACCACAACAAAATGGTGTGGCCGAAAGGAAAAACAGGACCATTCTCAACATGGTTCGAAGTTTACTAAATAAAGGAGAAGTCCCAAAGGAATTCTGGCCAGAAGCTGTCGTGTGGTCCGTTCACATTCTCAACCGGAGCCCTACTTTTTCTGTTAGGGATATGACTCCACAAGAAGCATGGAGCGGAAGAAAATCTGCAGTAGACCACTTTAGAATCTTTGGGTGCATAGCATATGCACACGTTCCTGATGAGAAAAAAAAGAAACTTGAGAACAAGAGTTTGAAGTGTATGTTCCTTGGAGTAAACGAGACCTCTAAGGCGTACAAGCTCTATGATCCTTTGATAAAGAAGGTGGTGGTAAGTTGGGATGTAGTCTTTGACGAAAAGAAGACTTGGACATGGGAAAAAAAGATCACTGTGAATCAGCAAATTCCTATGAATCTTGAAGAAGAACAAACTGAAGCCCCTATTTAGCCTCACTATGAGCATGGAGAGAGCTCATCACAAGCTCAACAAGAAGAACCAGTAGAAGAAGATTATGATCATAATCAAAGAAATCCAAGAACAAGAAAGAGACCAAATTGGATGATTGATTATGAGATGGACTATGAATCAAGTGATAGTGGTTATTTTGCATTCTTTATGGATAGTGATCCAATTGTCTATGAAGAAGCGGTAAAGGAGAAGAAATGGAAGGAAGCTATGGACAGTGAAATCAAATCCATAGAGAAGAACAAGACTTGGGAGCTCACTGATCTTCCTAGAGGGCAGAAAACAATCGGAGTAAAATGGGTTTTCAAAATCAAGTTGAATGAAAACGGTGAGGTGGATAAGTACAAGGCGCGACTCGTTGCAAAAGGATACAAGCAGAAGTATGGAATTGATTATAAGGAGGTATTTGCACCAGTGGCACGTCAAGATACTATCAGGCTCATAATTTCTATTACAGGACAGAAATCTTGTTCTATTTATCAACTTGATGTGAAATCGGCCTTCTTACATGGAGAGCTTCAAGAAGAGGTATATGTGGAGCAACCAGAAGGGTTGTTCCAAAAGGCAAAGAGGAAAAAGTATACAAGTTGAAGAAAGCTTTGTACGGTTTGAAGCAAGCTCCGAGGGCATGGTATAGTCGCATTGATTCTCATTTTGAAAAGATGGTATTCACTAAATGCTCGTATGAACATACGTTGTATGTGAAAACTGAAAAGGGAGGTAACATTATCATTATTTGCTTATATGTTGATGATATAATATTTACTGACAATAATGAAGAAATGTTTGAATTTTTTAAGAAGAACATGATGAAGGAATTTGAAATGACAGATCTTGGTTTGATGAGATATTTTATTGGAGTAGAAGTTACTCAAACTCCCACAGGTAACTTTATCCGTCAGAAGAAATATGCGCAAGAATTACTTGAAAGATTTAAATTGGATGAGCGCACATTTGGAACTCCATCAGAATTGGGTTTGAAGTTGCATAAGGATATTGACGGGCGAGAGGTTGATAATAGGTACTTCAAACAAATTGTGGGAAGTTTGATGTACCTAACTTCAACAAGACCAGACATCATGTATGCGGTTAGTATGATAAGTCGTTACATGGAGCATCCAACGGAAAAACATCTCAATGCAACAAGAAGGATACTTCGTTATGTGAGACATCTCAGTGCAGAAGAAGGATACTTCGTTATATGAGAGGAACCTTTGATTTGGGGGTATTCTACAAGAAAGGAGATGATCCGAAGATGGTTGGCTATACAGATAGCGACTATGCAGGTGATATAGATGTTCGTAAAAGTACTTCAGGAAGTATTTTCATGATAAGTTCAGGAGCTATTTGTTGGTCTTCAAAGAAGCAACATATTGTAACACTCTCAACTATAGAAGCAGAATTTGTGGCAGCAGCAACATGCTCGTGCCAAGCAATTTGGTTTAGAAAAATGCTTGAAATTCTTAATCAGAAGCAACCAGGTACAACGGTTATATATTGTGATAATATTTCAACTATTAAGTTGTCTAAAAACCTGTGTTGCATGGAAGGAGTAAGCACATCGATGTTCGATTTCATTTCTTACGTCATTTGTGTAAATAAGGCATTATTGAACTCAACTTTTGTCGAAGTGATGAACAAATCGCAAACCTATTCACAAAGTCCTTGAAATAACTATTGTTCGAGAAGCTTAGAAGAAAGATGGGGATGTGCAGAATCCAAGATGTATATCAAAAAGATGAAGTGAGGTCCTAAACTGATTTCTACGAGGGTGTTTGAAGCTAATAATAGTAATTTGAAATTAGTTACCACTGAGGACAATTTCATCCACAAAAATCCCAACCAACTCCGTAAATGAATGAAATCCCGTCCTATAAAATGACCTCCCTTGCAATCATTCAAATCACACATCCTCTCAATCTCACTTCAATTTTTGTTGTCACCAACACATTTCATATGACATCTATTCATAGTCATAGTGTTATGTATAAATGTCCAAATTAAATTCATATTCATAGTGTCTCGTAAGATATATATATATAGATATATATATATATATATATATATATAGATATATATATAAAATCGTGTTCATGGTAATAATAAATTTTTATCATATTTAATAAAATTCTGAAGTGTCCCATGACTGACTTCTCACCCCGCTCGTCACTCTCATACCGAGCTTATCTTTACCTGAAAATAATTTTAAAAACAGGATGAATGTAAAAAAATTTATAATTAGTTTTGATTTTATTTAAAATTAAAAAGAAATAAAGGTTAAAGCAAACTTGCATCGAAGAAATATTGAGAAAGTATGGCAAGTTTTCTTTTATCTTCTTGCCCTTCAACAATTCGAGTAAACTACTGTGAAACTAGAGAAGAAGAAGAAAACCCTAATCCAGCAGTTGTTGACAGCAGAAGGAAAAGGAAACCAACAAGGATTGATTAGGGCAAAGAGGTGGACGTGAGAGCTCAAGAGAAGGGAACTTCCATTGACAAACGGCAACAAACCGGGATAACCCTCTCTTTCCTTATTCTCTTTCCTTATTCCATCAATTTTACATGATGAAGATGTGGATTCCTCTGTTTAATTCAGTTTGTATGGAGAGCTAAACTTAATAGGGGAGGGGAGAGAGTTTTATATACTTTAAGTATGTTGACGGTATGATTTTAGTTTATTAAAGAGTTGTTGTTAATGATTTACATGTATGTTTAATTAGCTACGTTACATACATAGTTGTTCTCTTATTCGGGAGAAGAGAGGGAGCAATGAAATCCTCTTTAATACTCTAGTTCCATGGCAAGGAGACTTGAAGGGTAATAGAAGGGTTATAAATTATTCTTCTCCTACAGCCTTGTTAATAGAAATACAACGATTATGGAAATAATCACCATTCATGACCCTCAAAAGTGGGCTTGAGAATCTATTAAAAGGACTCAAATCTACCACAAAACTCAACAACTTATCTATTTAATCTCTCTTAGCAGAACCTTCCTCATTATAGTTGATTTTCTCATCATTTTCTGTTTTTTTACGGCAGTGGCACTCTGTTTTAGTTTTGTTTGAGTAGTTAAAATCACCAACACCCGTTGGAATGTTACCAAAAACTCACTTAAATTCCAGCTATAAAATTAACCAAAAAGATAGGTTCCCTGTGGAATCGATAATTTACTTATTACTTGCTACTTGTGATAGTGTATACTTGCACTTATTCTTGTGAATTTTACATCATTTTATTATATACATCCACAAGCGATCAATTATGTTTATGTTATGTTATAATATGTGAATTGTATGATAATAATTGTGGTACGATGTGTTCAAGGATATGTTTGAGATAGGATACGAGAAAGATGCACAAAACGAAATGAAACGATAGGAGTAAGATACATTGATGAAACGTTAAGATTAGGTTACATACCGAAGTGCTATGGATAGGAGAGATTGATGAAAGAATATGGTTAGGATATGTATAGAAAGAGATAGGTCTGTGATAAGTTGATAGAATGATAGCGTTAGGATGCGTTCCTGTGATGATATGACTAATGTACGTTCACATAACGATATGACTGTGATAGGTATAAGAACGTTAAGGCTATGATAAGTTAGGAAACAATATGACCACGAAGTGTTTAGGATATGACATGTTTATGATACGATATATTGTGATGTGATGTGTTATATTTAGATTGTTTTGTGTGACCATTGAGGTAATTGTTGTATGAATTGCATGTTATGAAATGACATGTTAAAAGCATGGAGCATTCTATTATGTTTTCTAAATTGTTATATTCGCATGTGCTTGCATTAACCCCAATAGTGAGGTCACTTATTGAGTATTTCTTTAAATACTTAAGTCATGTGCTACTACATTTTTCAGGTTAAGGCGAGGCATCCCTGTACGGCTAACGACGGCATCACAACTCGAGACCATGACACATGTATAGGATAGTGGTATTTATTTTCTTAGACTTAAGCTAAAATAGGATGTTTTTAACTTAAACGCTTATTTATTTTATTTGGTCTTTTGTTGTGTCATTTTTAAGGATGTTTTCGAAACACGTAAGTGTTTTCGGAACACGTAAGTCCATGGCTGCGTTTTAAGATAAATGATATGTTTTATGGAATTTAAATGAAGTCTTTCGCATTCAATGTTTAGGATATGTATATAGTAGCGACCTTAAATTAAGTAGAAAATTTTGGATCATTACATAATAAGTAAATTATCGATTCCACATAGAACCTATTTTTTTAGTTAATTTGATCGCTGGAAATTAAGTGAGTTTTTGGATGATGTCGAAAAACAGAAAATGATCATAAAATCAACTATAATGAAGAAGGTTCGGCAAAGAGAGATTAAATAAATAAATTGTTGAGTTTAGTGGTTGATTTTAGTTCATTTTAATAAATTCTCAAGCCCACTCCCCAAGGTCATGCATGATAATTATTTTCATAATCGTTTGTAAAGCTGTTGGAGAAGAATTATTTCTAACCCTTCTATTAGCCTTCAAATCTCCTTGCAATGGAACTCAAGTATTAGAGAGGATTTCATTGCTCCCTCTCTTCTCAGAACAAGAGAACAATTATGGATGTAAAGTAGCTAATTAAACACATATGTAAATCATTAACAACAACTATTTAATAAACTAAGATCATACCGTCAACATACTTAAACTATATAAAACTCTCTTCCCTCCCCTATAAAGTTCAACTCTCCATACAAACTGAATTAAACAAGGAATCCACATCTCAATCATGTAAAATTGATGGAATAAGAAAAGAGAATAAGGAAATTGAGAGTTATCCTACTTTGTTGTCATTCGTCAATGAAAGTTCCCTTCCCTTCCCTTGAGTTCTCACGTCCACCTCTTTGCCCTAATCAATCCTTGTTGGTCTCCTTTTTCTTCTGCTGTCAATAGCTGCTGGATTAGGATTTTCTTCTTCTTTGGTTTCATAGCAGCAAAGGCTACTGCTGTCTAATCCGATTTTTCTCCCAAAGTGTGGCTCCCCTTCTTTTTTAGGTATCCTTTTGCTTTTATAATGGTTGTTTCTTCTCATTTAGGGCTGAGAAATGATAAGATCGTCCACCAAGGATATTTTAATTTGGTAGTCAATGACCCACATGGACTGCTGATGTGGATTAAAATTTTCATGTCATCTCCCAAAAGTTTGCGTTTTGAATTGCTTCAGCATCAGAGTCAGCAATTTATTTCTAGATGCAAGGGGTGTTGTTTCCAGATTTGCTACAGCATCATGGTTCAGCATGAATGTTCTTGAATTTTACCAAATAACTCTATTACTACAATTAAGCTCGATTTATGCAAATTGAATTTCTTTTTATATTAAACCACAATTGACTATTTCATCTATACTAATTAGAATAAATGGAGCAATTAGTGAGAAAATGGTGAGTATGATTGCAAAATTAACTATAAAAAGGTTTGATATAACTCTACCTTCGGAGAGTTATCAATAGGCTAAAAAAACTATAAATTTTGCTTAACCTTAAACTAGGCTCGTTTCTGGAGTTAACTATCATGATACTAGGTTAATTAGGTTTTTAGTATATTTCTAATCATAGGCCTCTTTTCCTAATATACACTTAAAAGTACTATTTGATATTTGTTCATGCACGTTTGAGCTCGCGGTTCTCGATCTTTCCGAAGTTGTTTCCTTTTAAATTTCTTTGGTAGGCTGAAAATTATGTCTAGTTTCTGGAACAATAAACAATTTTATGAGAACTAAGTCTAAACGAGAGTGAATCGGCCTAAACAGTGAGTAAAGGTCATCAATTCAATGCTTTGCATCTTGACTCGTGTTCATAATTGCTTTTAACGACCTTCCCAATAACTATTTATTCCTCATGATTCTTAATAACATTCAAATCCCTCTCAAGTGTGTAAAAGTCATAGACCCATTTGGAATCATTTATATGCATAAATCTTCGGATTAACCATTGGGGACATTTGAATCATTTCTCTTAAGCCTTAATTTATACCCCTAACTTGGTTTAGGTTCTAAACTTGATCCTTGAAATCTTATTGGTTGGGACAATCCAAGACATTTTTAGGCCTCGATTCCTTCATGAAATTTCTTCCCTATCTTCCCATCAAGTTTAAGAAATAGATTTGGAAGAACAACTTTGTGGGCTACCAGTTTTTCGCTTGAAACTCTCGAGCCCATACCTTGATGGGGACCTCCTTGGGCCTCGATTTCTTCATGAACAACTTTGTAGGCTACCAGGATTGATTTATACAATGAGATGGTTGGTAGAAGCTTAACTTTAGATTACCCTCAATCTTGCTTAAAATGAACCTGCCTCAATCCTGAGCTATTCACTCTTTGTGATCTTTATGAAAAATACTCCTCATCATCCAAGGGAGCGTTTAACATAGGTTTGGAGTCTCGAATTTGCTCATAGCCTTCAATATGCTCATGCCACTTTCAGCTCTCAAGTCCTTCACAAAACTTGTTGGGGAGCTCACCTAGAACGTATAGGAATTGTTTTGAGGGAATTTGATAGACTATTGCTCTCGAATTTTGGAAAACCCAAGAGTGTCATACCCATAAAGTAGAAACTGGATTCTTATCTCAAATGTTCCTTATTTCTTTTCCATAAAGTAGAAATTCTTTGTGAGACATGTTGGCATTCCAGCCTTTCTTCTCTTTTTATAGCCTACCCGAAAGAGAATCTAGTATTTCTTGGTCGTAAATATCTAAATAGGACGAACCGCCCTGATATGGAAATCACTTCAAGGGGAGCAAGATTCGGATTACCTTGTTGATCAAATATCTCAAGGCAAGAACACTTGTTTGAGATTTGAATCACTCCACAAGTAATATCGATCATGTCTAACTTGAATGATTTTTGTTGATCAAATATCTCAAAGTAAGAACACTTGTTTGAGATTCGAATCACTCCATAAGTAAGATTGATTATGTCAAGCTTAAATGATTCTACATGTAACCTAAATTACATAGAATTGCAAAGAAACTTAGCCATGGGCTAAAGAGGAGCACAAATGCTCCGTTTACCCTATTTTTCAAGTCTACTTACAAATACAACATACATGATTTTATATAGCCTCAAAATAAAAACGCATTTCAAGACTGGTAACATTCATACGTAAGACCATAATTAACCATGATGTAAATGTAACTAAAGTAAATAAAAAGTCCTAAAATACATTAATGAAACATCATAACTCTAAATTATGATCCACCCACAATTTATAACAATGAAACTTCATTCTTCTTCAATGTGTCATGAATTGAAACATCTTTGGATAATTTTGACAACATTTTCTTCGCATCTTCCCTAAAGTTTATATTGTATGATTAATGTCTTGGTTCATATCACACCCCGTGGTTTGCTTCGGAACAAAACAATTAGAATTAGGCTCGTTGAACTGAAATGGGTATTTTCCATACAGGGGAGGGGATCTTACAATGGAGAAGATCCGTCGACCTAAGAGGAAGAGAAGGGTCTATCTATTTTACTTAGTTATTCAGTTAAATCAATGATTCGGGTGATTCGTCCCTTAACACGATGATACATTTTATTCCCTCATAAGCACCTTTTAAGGCATGCCAAACACATAAGAAACAAACTCAATGATACCCACAAAACATATAAGAAAATGTTAACCAAATATGAGTTACAAATATCATGTTAACAAAATGTTAACCAAACCAAACAAACAAACCTAGAAAAAGGGGCAATGAACAGTGAAGGATCATGTAAAAAATTCAACAGATCCCCACACCCAAACACCCAATTAGTCAAACTAAGGAACCCTTTCTTCCTAAACTCTTTTTCCTTTATGCTCTATTTTCACACACAAATGAAACCACTTCAATCAGCACAAACAAAAACAGGGCCAAAAAAAGTTAACACGAAATACATATCGACAAGTTTCTTTCGGTCGAAAACGGTTAGATTAGATCAGACATCCTTCTCCGGTGACGAGAAACCATAACTTTCAAGTTCGAATCAGACGAAGTTACCAATTTGCTTTGCGGCCATGGCAATGGCAATGGGTCTTTCTTTAGTTCTGGGACGTTCACTTGAGGAGCTTCTGTTGAGAGGGTGTCGGGTTCGACGTACCTCGACTTCTTATTTGATATGTGTAAGCTTGCTCTTATACGAAAATCCGAGTAACTCATTGACTGGGAACTCGAGAATTGGACAGAGCTTCTTGTTCCAAATCTCGAAGTTTTTGCTCTCCCTGTCGCCACTTTGTTTTCTGCAGAACTTTGCCTTTGTCGACTCGCCATTGTCGACGTCATGAAACGAGGCAAAGAATTCGAAACTATACTTTTACTTGAAACTTTAGGCTTTCTTGGAGTGACAATGACTTCCTTCTGATCTTCCCCGAGCGCTATATGGTTCGTGTTTGGAGTTTCGACGAATGGATGATGCTCGGTAGAAAATCGCTTCTTGTTTTCGCTTAATAGAAACTCGGCTTTCTGTATTTGGTTCTTGAGTTTTTGGCATTCCTCCTGAGCTTCCTTCATGGTTTCATCCAGCATTGCAATTTTTTTCTCTCTTTGCTTCTTCGAGTCCTAAACGATCCATTTGAATTCTTAGCCAAATTCCAAATCAAAAACAACTTCGAGAAACTACTTAGGAAATTCGAGAATTCTACCTCCTGTAATTCTCGACTCGTTTCGATCGCTCGTGCTCTCTTTGCAAAACTTAACGAGCATATCGTCTCTGCAACATCTTCTTCACAAGGACTTAAATGCACAAGCATTAACACCTTTGAACCGTCACCTATACGAATCGTTCAAACTCATACGTCACTTCCGAGGATAAATTTTCAAGAGGGTCGATGCTTTAAATTAGTTCGAAAGCATATATTCATAACAAGATCATAAAGAAGATACCTAAGGAATCTTTGAGTATTTGAGTTAGCTTGCTATTTCTGCAACCAAAGAAAGAAAAATCGAGTTTCATCAGTGACGGGAAGCTATGATAAACTCAGGTCGCTAATCGAAAACTTGCCTGTAAGGAACATGACCCCTCTTCCTCCTTAGAGCTGCAATAACATCACCCAAAGCCGAAAGAGAAAGATTTATCGCTCTTCCCTCGTCGAGCGTTAGACCACATGCCCCGGTTTTCAACAATCTTTCACTTCCTCCCAAATCCACCATCCATAGTTTGCTTACTTCGGTTTTAGCTTTTGAACCGTCCACGCAACGATACATGGTGACCTTTGTTAAGCTAGATATATGAAGCTAAGAAGATAATGTAACTATCAAGCCAAAATAATCCATTAAACGAATTAGGGAGTACTGATTCGTGAGAAACGCACCAGTGTGATCGGCTAGATGTTTCATTCACATTAGTCCACGAAGTCGATCGAACCCGTCTTCCTTTATTATACCACCATTTAGCCTTTTCAAAGTCGGGTATCGGGACTTCGGTTAGGCCCTCGATCTCAACGAATCCCTTTTGATCTGTTTGAATGTTGAGATTGCTGTAGTAGAGTTAGCCATTCATAGTAAGCAAATGAATAAGGTCACCAGTTAAATGCATTATGGATCAATTCTAGCATTTACCATCGTTCATACATTCTTGAGCCTGCTTTTGGAGCCAGCAGGTCCCTCAAACTACCCATGTAAACCTCCAACATACTCATGGAAAACGTTACGGTCGACGAGGCGCCCATGGACGTTTGAAAGAGCATCTCAAGCGCACGGGGGACTATTCCCGGCTCCTCCATTCTACCATCCTGCTCGATTGTCACGTTTCATCAATTACCATCACCAGAGAAACACAATTTCCTCAACATTACAGCAATTTTTCGTTACTAACCATGGTATATGTCTTGCCCGTACCCGTTTGACCGTAAGCTATTATACATACATTTCGACCATCAAGAGCGGATTGGATTATCGGTTCGACCTCAGAATAGACTTCCTCTGCTCAATTTTTCAAGATTCAATACTCATTCAAAACACATATCAATAATAGATTAGAGCTAACCTTGGGATGCTTCTTTACAAAAAACCTTATCGAATTCGAATTCCTTTCTAGTTCCCGACGATCGAACCTTGACCTTATCTCGTTCCAACAAAACGGGCTCACAAATTCTTCTCCGATCCGTCAGTAAAAACGGACGAACACGACAAAACACACGAATACTACCTGAAATAGAGTTGATTTACTAAAGCTACATCTAACAAACAAGTGCATTCTAAAGTTCATCACTCATTTCTTCACTACCTTTAATGTCTAGAATCTTATTCAATGCGTCTCTACGCTTCTCGTTCGACACGCTCAACTTCAATCTCAATTGTTCAATCTCACCTAGTGATAGATAATAACCAAGTCAATCCAGCCAGTTCTACAATGAACAAACAACAGTAATAGCAATAACTCTGTTACAATAAGCTCACCTTCTAGATTGAGTATTGATTTCTGGAGCTCAGTGTTTTGATGCTCAGGAACAACACTCACATCTGTACACAACAAAGTTGGAGGGACGCCATTGAAGGAATCCAAGTTCGATCCAACAGGGGAAGATGAGTTCATCGACTCCATAACAATGAAGAACACAACAAGATCTGTTCCTGTTCTTCACAAATCAACAGGAAAATACCCAAATACCCAAAACCAAGAACGATTCACCAAACAAAAAACATTAATCATCAAAACCCAGATCAAAAAAAGTTAGAAGAACAGATTAAAAGGGTTTGGGGTAAAGGATTTGAAAGTACAGGAAAAGGGGAAGAAGCCCTAGAATACGAAGGAAATCAATAAGAACAGTGAAGAACAGAGAAAAAAACCTAAGAAATGTTGGGAAATGGAGAGAAAAAAGGAAGTGGGTGAGGGAGAAAATTTCAAAAGATTCAATAATTGAACACTCCACATGGACTCTGATTGAAATTTCTTCTTACAGTTGGGGGGACAAGAAAGAGCACCAAGAAAATGGTTTTTTTTTTTTTTTTTTTTTTTTTTTTTTTTTTTTTTTTTTTTTTT